AGAGAAGAGACGCACGATGCTTTTGCAGAGAAGTTTTTGTATCTTTCTACATTTATTTTTGATAATCTATATAAAACAAGTATCAATGTCTGAAACAGCAAGCTGCTTTTTCATGAAGAAATATTAACAACACTCCCTGGCAGTTGCTGCCCAGCACACTTGGGTGGCTGTTGTTTCATCTTCACGCTGTGACACAAATGAACTCCCCAAGCTACAATTCACTACCAGCAACATGATACCTGAAATTAATTCAGAGCTCTTCCCTGTATTCTGAGGGGATCCAAAAACCATCCTGAATTTACACAACAAGGGTAGTTACTAACAAAAGCCTACATGCGTTGAGAAAGTCCACAACATCTTTTTGGAGAAACGCTCATTGATTTCATGAGGCAAAGTAGAAGCGATAATGCTGAAAAGTCACTTTTATGGTGGAAATGGTAACAGGGAGGAAAAGTCACTTGATACACAAGTTTTAGTTTTCCTTTCAGCAGACAGACCCAATAGATTAATCATTAGATTATCAAACAGATCAGAACCAAACTGCACAGTGTGCTTATGCCACCTACGGCACAGTCAATCTAAATTTAAAAAAATAAAGTTATAGCCTTCTTTGTTGTAAGGCTTCCAAATGGGATGTCATGCACATTATTTATTAACATCTATCCAGACCTGAGAGATGCAAGCTTCCATCTGAAACCTACTGGCAGCATCTGAAGTCTCCAGTGTAACTACTTAATTACTGATTGTTTCTGCAAACAGAAGCCATAGGAGAATTTAAACGAGAAAGAAATTCCAGTAAAGGACGAGGACAGAAGAGGAAATACAGGGGGGGAACACTGGAGGAATGAGGAGGCTGGGGAGAGAGGGAATCCCGAACAGCAAAGGGGGCCCAGTGAGCACCCCCGGGAGAGCTGAGAGCTGGGGATTCAGCCCCGCACTGCAAGCGGCCCTCCTGCCTTAGGCTGCTGCCCTCCTCCTTCCCTTGGGGAAGCACAAAGCGGCCTTTGGCGTAGCCCCAGAAACGCAGCAGTCACCTCAGCAGGGCAGAGGCCTGAGCAACGCCAGAAAACAGCCACAAAAGGCTCCTGTGGGAAGCTACAGACGTATTTCTCCCCCCTGCAGGAGCACAAAAGCCCCAGCCCCCATGTAATTCAATACAACTAACCTGCTTAGTAGTTTTGAGAGTCCCTTCTGGCCTCCTGGCACGCTGGAAAGCCAATACAATGGGATAAGTCATTTCTTTCCCTCACACTACTGCTGCCACCCAGCACACGCTCCCCAAAGGCTGCTGCTGACCCCTCT